TGTGACAGCTCCCAAACATGCCAAACAGCACTGAACCGATTAGCACTGGCTGTCAATCGTTTTGGGCTATGCTTTGCTCCATCGAAATGCAAAGTACTTCTCCAAGATTGGCAGGGACCCAACCCTGCTCTAACGCTTGGTGGTGATCTGCTAGAAGTCGTTCAGGAATTCAAGTACCTGGGCAGCTATATTAGCACCCGTGGGATTGAAGATGCGGTTGCGAACCGCATAGCAAAAGCTCGAGGTGCTTTTGCCAATCTCCGCCACCTGTGGCGCAGACGCGACATTACTTTCGCCCTGAAAGGCAGAGTTTGCAACGCAGCCGTCCGTTCTACTCTCTTATATGGTTGTGAAACCTGGCCCATCAGGTCGACTGACATGAAGAGACTTGTCACATTCGATCATCGCTGCCTTCGCAGCTTAGCTCATGTCTGGTGGGAACACCGCGTGAGCAATGAGCGTGTTCGACATCGTGTATTTGGTGCAGGAAGAGCGAGTGAACTGCTCAGCACCATTATGTCACGCACCAGGCTCCGATGGCTGGGCCACGTGTTGCGCACGCCAGCACACCGACTCCCGCGACGTGCATTGTTTGCGCGTTGTGGGTGCGGTTGAAAGAGGAGGAGGGGAGGCCAAGTGATGACTTGGTCGAGAGAAATGAAAACCCTCACTTCGAAGTTGGCGTCGGTTGGTGCATCCCGACTGCCTGGCTGGGGTCCTAAGGACGGTGAACACATTTGGTTGGACACACTTGCTGATATGGCTCGGAGCCGGCACCAATGGCGTTTGTGTTGTGATTTCCTTTGCCCATCCCCCTCCTGTTTAGTATCCCCCTCCAATCACGATCTCACTTGTTAGGCATAATATGATTCTCTTTTTACGGCAGCCAGCTGTTAGCTCTCCGGAACGATGTCCATCCGTTACTGGGGACTCAGCGGGCGTGCCACTGTTTGTCACTGTTTTCCTTTTCTTTTATTTTGTATTGCGGCACAATAGCTGAGGTGTTTTCCACCTCCAGCTAACGTGTAATCATGATGATGCACTACCACATGACAGCATTTCGCTTTCACTATACTGACAGGCACTTTGCTTCCTCAAATTTGCAGGTTGATTTTCTTCACTTTCTGCAGTGCATAGCACCTAGTAGCACTCTATGTATGCTTGAGCACGGATATCACAGATCACTCTATAATTTTTCCCTTTAATACCTATGGTCCTTTTATTTTCTAACCACGTCTTCCAGTTTCTAAAGTTTCATGACTGTACCGCCAGGCCAAGGACAGCCGTCGCGTCTCAAATCACATTGATCGTATAAATTCGATACGCAATGGCTGACGTGTTTCTCGCCTTTAGTTGACTTGCATAATGGTGATAATGATCATCTCAACTGCTGCTCTGCTACTACTAATTACTAACAACAGCGATAGTAACAGTGGTTGATTTCACTTGAAACTGAACTCTTGATTGTATCTGACTTTTATACCGTTATGGACTTGCTGACACACGGTGTGAGATTTGCAGTACTTCGGTTAACTGGAATTTGCGAGATAAAACTTTAGAGCGGTGCACCTAACAATTGTATAACAAAAATAAATCGTCAGTCGTAACGGTGCTACGCTTCCTCGCGACCGCCATCAGTCGCGTATAGGCTGAGTATTTCGCGAAGACGCCCGCCCCTACGCGGATTCGAACCGGTGATCTTAAGATTACAAGCCAGACATGCAGACCACTCTTAATAAAAGCTTCATACTGATTTCCTGATTAACTATGATGCACAGAACTTAGAGGTTAACTAACAGGTGTTGACAGAGTGTGCATCGCTGTGTGGCAGACGCTCTCCATCCGCCAGTCGAGGATTGGTTTTTATTGGCTCTTTGTTTCATGCAAAGACACTTATTCCTGGCGCCCCAAGGTGATCGCTGATTCAAGTCAAAAACAACGTCCACATCTAGCTTTACCTAGTTGTCTATCAGCTAACCAGTGCACTGTTTATGCTTTACACGGTGTTTTATCGAACTTCTAAAGTAAACCAACCATCAACAAAAGAAGCATATAGATAGCGAATACGCAGCAAGCTGGGGTCTATCGTGCACGAAGACGTCAATTGCATAAACACAAACCTTTCTAGTTATCATCTGCTTGATCAAGAACGTCGACCTCATTCCATACTAGTCTGTTGGTCGATGATTTTCCTCTCTGTTTTTATCCGATACGTTGGCATCAGCTTGTTCTGACTATTGGGACATATACTTGTTTTGACCTTTGGTCTTGAGCTTCGTGGATCTGCACTCTTCCTAGCACATGGGAAATTAGGGGTGTTGCTGTCACCCATCGTTATCGAAAGTTCACAGGATATTACCGATTAAATGGCAACACATCGCTGACCCCCGTGGCTTTTGATATCCGCTGAGGAATATGAGCGTCTTCTGAAAGTCTTCATATCATATTCATTGAATATCCAGAAAATGAAGGTCTCGCGGGATCATGGACACCAGCACTGAACCCTATGTCTATACAAGCCGACAGTTAAACGATCCATTAAGTAAGGAAAATCAAGATGAAGTAAGAATGCCTCGATGGGATTCGTTATTTTAACCTACCAGTATTCTTGTGTCTGCGCTTCTGCATGATAGATCGTTGAGCTAAGTAAAAATGGATAGGGCCGAAATCGGTCCGGCAGTTGTACACCGTAACGGCGCTTCGCTGCCACTCGACCACAACCAGTCGCGCGCGGGATGAGTATACCTAGAGGACGCCCACCCTTACGCGGATTCAAACCGGTGACCTTATGATTGCAAACCAGGCACGCAGACCACTCGGTCACCGGCCGACAAATCGGTCTACTCTATCCTAACTATTATATGTGATCCAGCTATCGCTTGTTTATGCACCATCGTTTCCACCTACATCTAATATGTCTTTGAATTAGTTGCATTATGTGTTGGTTTTGGGTGCTAATATAGATGGAAATCCTTCATGTGGTTCCTGTATACATTCTTTTTTACCGCGCGTTGAATCTTTGCTTCCACACTCGCTAGCTGCGTTTGTCGTCCTTCTAGGAAGACAATGATTACATAACAGAGTAACCCGCATAAAATCGTGGTGTTTTTGGTATAAAGGCATTCACGGGATCGTCGTCTCGAAAGAAGTGGGTGACTGGATGTACAAGCATAGATTGTATTGTCGAACATTTGATCGCCTGTATATTCACGCAGTTGATCTCCATCGGAGCATCCGCTGCCACTTGGCATATGATGTCTCTCTCAATTGCTCAAAGTGATTCACTTGCCGCGTAATCAACCGGTCAGCTTGACGTCTTGCCAAGGCGCCTACATTTTTCTGAAACAAGACATCTCGGTAGTTTCTCATTTGTCATAAACTGGCGGCGATGCGGGCCCCGTTGACTGACGAACGTGTCTTGCGCGAAACTCTTGGCCCCTTTTGCCTCCCTTCGATTGTCGATGAGGCTAGCCACTGCCAGTGATTACCTAACTTGGATGGACCGCTCAATGCTGACTCGGAAACATGGGATGTGCGTTCCACACCCCTTTCTGGCAATCTTAATGTATGCTCCGGTTAGTTCAGGTGAACTGATCATGATGATCCGAAGGCACTTTTTGGTGTGTCCCAGTTGAACTGGTTGCGTTTTCGAGGTGTGCATGGTGCTCAACCATCTGCGGAGTAAGTTTGCTTGTTATGCTGCTAGCTGAAGTCCTAACGATGCTATTAGCCCACTATCGTCGATTGCCATTTAGGTCCTGTCTTACTGGCCTCCTTGTATCCCAATTTCCTATTCCCTGCCACTAACAGTATCTGCATCTTGGAAGCTAGGCATCAATTCTGTGGTCCATATTATTAATGGGATACTTGTTTGTCCTTTGCAACCTTTTTTCTTTCTACCTCCTCGCTATAATATATATTATATGGTAGATCTCTGCCTTTCTAGTTCACTAATATAAGCATGAGTCGATTTGACCTTGGAGTGTTGTCACACTCGGATTATACTAACTAGCACCTACCCACAAGTGTTCACGTTCAAATCTGCTTTCTGTCACAAGCTTCAACCCCTCCACCCAATTTTCCGGTACGATACAGTCACTTCTTTACATCTCTCACTGGTCATCAGCTTCCACTATTTTCGTGTTTCCATATTCTAGTGTGGCAATTTTGCACAGTTAGCGCTGCCCTCCTGGTTGCTCATGCGGGGAATCCTCGTTTTGTGTCACATGGACAATTTCTGATAGTCTGGTCCGACGTCATGTCCTATCGATCTTTCTTTTTCTGCCATTTGGTCCCTTCACTTTTGTTTCAAGAGGATTTAACAGCATAACTGGATAACTTTGCACTTTCATCTCTTTTTGTGTCCTTCTCAGCTTTGCATTGTAGCTGGACTGGGTGCTCACCCACAATCACGTTTCTTTTCGTACTTCTCATCACTCTTCATTATTCACCTACTGTTTCTCTCTATCCAGTTACATTTCTGTCTGTTGTCTTATGTGAACCGCGCAGTCCGATCTCAGGCTTGTGGTTTCGGAGGATTGGGTTGGATACTATTTTGTTTATGGATTTAACGATTATGTATATGAATGGTCCGCGACACAGTCACAATTTAGGCGTTGCTTGCTCCCACTATTGCATTCTGCGGAGGATATCATCCCCGCTTGTATTTTTCAGTTTGCTACGACCGGGTTGGGACCCGGACGTTGTCCTCGGACACCATGGTCGCTACACCACCGAGCTCTATGGGCACCGTTTGTCACAGGGATCGAGAGCTCATTGCTTGAATTTTAGAGCACCCTTTGTGAGCGTGAATTGGGTAACTTTTACACGGTGGATTTGAGTTCTGTCCCTGAAATGTCCAAACGAGGAGACAACTGCTCGTTAAGTGCATTGTTGGCGCAGAGCGAGCGACACTTGCTTTCACCAGAGTGCAGACGCATCAAACCCATTGTGACGGTCCCCGTTTACACATATCTGTTTTGTGTTCTTATTCTTAACAGGTCTAAATTTCTTTGAAGCCTCTGCGAAAGGTGATGTAAATGTGAGAAATGTGTTCGAATGCCTTGTCGATTTGATCTGTGACAAAATGGCGGACAATCCAGAGCTCAATCAGTCCGTGTCTGGCGCTACATCCAAAGGTGAGTGAATTTTTGTCCTTTTGTCGCTGACTGTCCTTTTGAGCATTTCTTGTTCTGGAGTATACCATTTCCTGATGGGGTCATTCCCGATCTGCTACTACCTTTGGTTCGAATGATAAGTGTACTCGAGGGCTGATTATTTATCCCTGTGTCGCTTTCCATTTTCCCTATCATTTCCTCATTTTACAGCTTTTACCATCATTCAGATCCTTGTTTCCATTTTTCTTTTCTGGGTTCTTCGCTCACTGTTCCGTCAGTGACGGATTCGTTCAGGTGTACCGATTTGAGGCCGGCGGGTGGCCGAAACAGCTAGACATCTGCCTCCCAACCTGGACGTTACCAGTTGACCGGACTATCCTCGCGGTATCCTTAGCGCATACGCAACTGATAAGATTTGCTGAGCAGTGTAACGTTGGTATTGTCTACCCGCGTATTGTTTATGTCTTCTGTCTTTTGATCTGTACTAGCAATGAGGGTCAACCTCGATACCGTCTGTCCGTCTCGCCTTCCAGGCGGGAGTCCACGTGACTCGCCTTGTGCTCGGCTTGAGAAGTTGGAGGACATGGCTCGCAGTCGGCACCAGTGGCGCGTCTGCTGTGATCTCCTAGTTGAACTGCCTGTTTAAAGTGTGTTTGCCGCTGAGTTATCTGCGTGGTAATGGCTGATTATGACGCGGGGCAGTGAAAGCCGCATGGAAGCTGTCTCGCCGATGCTGCCTTACCTTTGCACGATAGCCAGCTGTTTGTGGTGGTATGTTGTTGACAAGGTATAGGCACTTTGATCCAATGTTTGTTTAGGGTATGAAGCTTTTATGCTGGGTCCTCCTTCTCTTCCTCCCGTTGTTCTTTGTTCCGAAGGTCGTGGTTGTATGGCAGCGAGGCATCAATTCAAATGGCTGGTGTTGATGACTCCGTCTACGAGTTGCAAATTCAGGCTTTCCTGAATGCAGACAACTTCCTTTCCCGTCTCGCATGTAATAGCTGAATGTCGCTGCGTAACATCATCATCATTATTATTATTTACGAGCTTTTAGCATACCGCTGATGACTTTTTCACACTGTTACAACGTGAGTGATGTAAACTTGCTCCGTCTCACTTGGTCTGCGAATCGTGGTTTTTATGTCTCAGCTCATTTTTAAATATCTGCATCTCTCTGAACACAGAAATTCGGATGATCCCATGTAGTCGCTATAATTAAACTTGACTATTGATGAAGAAAGCAAACAAGGAGCGATGTCTAAAATATACTCCAACATCCGATGGTTATGTTTTGAAAACCAGGCAGCCCCGACTGTGCATCGTGGACCGCACCATGTGCTCGAACGTTTTAGATCTCAACCCAACACAACGATTATGCCCTTATTTAACAGTATTTCATTTACACGGATTGGCAAACGTTCTTGGTCACACATCAGCTGGTCGTTGTTTTTGCACAAGAGCAGTGCATTCTGCCTGCTATCTCACTTCGCCGTCAAGGATTGTCGGTTGGGTAGTGCTTTTAGCTTGGTAACAGGATTGTCGTATTTTTATCATCTTGACATCCCCTTTCTTCAGCAAATGACTCCGACTTGCGGCGTTAGGATGTATGGCTGTGCTTGGCTGTCAGGATATTCCCCACAGCAGCATCATTAGAGGTGTTAAACATCATCGTGCGTCTCCTCAATGCTGGTAATCAATACACGCAAAAGCGGTCCCCCTGCAGGTGTGAGGGATATCTGACCGAACCAGCGGAAGACGATTGGAGTTCGACAAGCACTCCTGTGAGGGTCCCAACACCTAATGACGAATTTCTGTATGGTTTCACAGATATCGGTAGTTAAAAACCGTCAGTCTCTTAGCGTCCACAGCGCATATTGACCAGGCCTGTGATCCATAGAGCAACGCTGGCAGTACCGCAACGTTTTAAACCATCTCCTTAATCGGGGTGCTTACATTCGGTTGCCTCCAAGCGTGGCGAGGATTACCAAAAAACATGTCAGTCTTAACGATGCGCAAGGTAACCTCTTTCAAGATGTGACCGCCATAGTTGATACACCTACGCAAGTAGACAGACGGCACAACAACTCCGGGCAACTATTTAGTTATAATTAAAGCTATGGTACTTCGCTTCAGCTTTGTAACAGTACTTTGAACTCTAGAAGTGCCACGCGCATGCCAAAACATGCAACGCTACACATCAGCCTACTCAGTAGCACACCTACACAACGCTCGCCTCCCACCCGAAGTAGACTTTGTCGTCCGCATATTCTGGATTTGACAGTGTGGTTTTTCCGCGGAACTTTACACGGTCACGCGAGTCATGGGTTTCAAGATACCGAGGAATTCCTCAGGTACGCTTTTCGAAGATAGACATCATCACGAACACGTTCGGTCAACCGAACCGATGACAGTCTTCGGTTTAAGGAATATCACTATGGTTGGTTGTTTATACAAATTTCGACGTTCAGTCTTCTGTCGAAGTGTGAAAATGTGGTCAACTCACTCTCCGCCAGGACGAAAGCGAGCCTGACTTTCACTTGTTCATCTCTCACGAGGATCAGCGGGTCAACGCAGCGCGCTGAACGCGGGTAGTTCGGAGGCTGTCGGCATCAGACGGTGATTTTCACAGGATGGGGATAGAAATACCAGTCGAAAATTACGGCATTCGCGGTCCACTTCCTCCTTGCTTTAACTAATGTCGAATGGAAAAACAAAGGAAATCACTAGTAAATCACCACTGTCCTTCAGCACCGATAATGGAAAGCCACCTAAACCAGACGCTTTTTCTACTTTGTCACCCATCGGTTTTATTACATCTCGTCTATGGTGAATTTGTTACTTTTGCGTCTCAGGTGATTCAGCTATCAACTCTCACATAGTTGAAGGATGAATTGCTCGGCCTCACTTTTTGGTCAGCGTGCTTGAGAACTACACATTTTTCCATCCTTTTCAGCTACCGTTTCACCAAAGTAACCCTTTCTTGGACCCTTGTATCGACTGATCTATATCAGTACTAGCATATTCCAAGCAGTGCTGGCCTCACCATCCAGCAGCTCTTACGGTCATTTCTGAGGCTTCTAGCCCGACCACGTTTCAGTGTGCAGCGGTCACCCTAAGGCTGATACCCTGTTGCGGCCTACTCCTCTGTTTCGATCTTTTCAGTTGAACAGCTATGACCCTGGCGCCGAAGTGCATGGGTCCAGCTGCCACGACTGACGTCACCAGAACAACAATAACTATCATGGGCAAGATAATGGGGTTGAATGCAGATAGAATGTAAACAAACTGGAAGCTAGAAGGAATTGCCTTAAACTAATCAGAATGAAAGGAAAATTACCAACCAGATGCGGGAAACCGATTGCAGGAACGCCACTGACTGTATGACTGCGTCGTGTATGATACAATCTCCAACCATTGGTGTGGACCATCCACGAAGACGGCATCAGCCATGTCAGTCATTTTCTTCATGCCTCCACGCCACCTCATGGATTGGCCACTTCGAGGTGTTGTTCAACGTGGTGCGGCCACGGCGTATAATGAACGCCGATCGGCGCGTAAACGGAGGACATAGCCTGGCCAGTGTAAACAACTAGATTCAGTAAACACTTGAGGCAGACACCAGAAACCTTCTTACCAAAAACCGACAGGTGGACCTCATCATTACTCGCGCAGTGTTCCCACCAGACGGGAACAATACTCCGCAAGCACCAGTGATCAAACACGGCTTGTTCCCTAATCCACAAAGTAACACCGGCCTTATCGCAGCTTTACACACTCAGTCTTTCAGTGACAGTCTGATATCTCGCCTACTCCATAAATAATTGAGCTTTTTGTAGACTGCACGGGCCTTGCTGATCCGTGAAAAACAACCTCCTCAGTGATGTGACCAGAGGTGACCGAGCTACCGAGGTATGTGAACCGATCCACAACTTCCAGCGGTTGTTCGGTGTCGTATCGGTCCAGTATTGCAGCAGCACGTTGCAATTTGATAGTACAAAGCGTGCAGCACTACGTATCAGCCTATTTACCAGTGTTTCATAGTCACTACGTCAGTCTCAATCAGATTGAGACTGTATTTAAGAGCAAGTAGAAAGGTTTCTGTACAACTCTATCGAATTACGAAATATCAACAACATTTAGTTGTAAATCATCAGCGGTTGTGTCTGGTCCGTTAATCGTTTATCCTTGTTCGGTTAGGAATTTGTACTAGTGTCATTCTTTCCGGGCATACGATGTCTTCTATTGGCATTGTATGTGCATTGTTTCACAAAAACACAGGTTTCTGAAATAATCGTCGATACGGGTTTTAAAACACCTCAAAGAATCGGCCTCTATTAATCCTTCTGGTAGTGTATTCCATAAGTTTACGATTCTTCGTTCGGTACAAAGCTGATGTGATACTTTGTTCATGCTGGAGACCCTGAGTTTGTAACGGTGTCCTCGGGTGTTGCAGGGTTCCCGCAGGTGAAATATTGGCCTCAGTATGGGGAAGTGATTCAAGTGTAGTACTCGATCGGTCATAATAAGGTCAATTCTTACTCGGCGCTAGGATAGTGTGTAGAGTCCGAGCCTTTCACTACGTTTTTCATACGGAAGGTTTTGTAGACTCGGTATCATGCTAGTTGCCATATGCTGTATTTTCTCCAGCTTTTCAATTTCCCACTGGGTTATCCGATGGTAAGTTGCGGCACCGTATTCAAGGATTGGTCTAATGAGCGAGGTGAATAGACGAGGGACGGTTTCTTCGGATCATGTGGCGAAACTGCGTATTAATGTCCAGAGCATACGAAGTCCCGCACGGTACGATTTCTCTGTATTTTCTAATGATCTCAAATCATGTCCCGAGGGGATTCCTAAGTCTCTGACAGATGTGTTGGGGTGGAGCAACTTTCCATCCAAGGTGTATGCTCGAGTGGCTCGACGTCTGGTGATACTGATGAACTCCAACTTGCTTGCATTAAGAGGGAGTTGCACTTGAGTGGACCACCTTGACAGTCGGTCTAAGTCATGCTAGAGGTGAG